TTCGTGGCCCCATAGGGAGCCCCACCGAAGGCCCCAGTGCTGCCGCCCGCATGCGTCCCGCACACCCATTCGGCACACCCCTCACACGTTTCGTGGCCCCATAGGGAGCCCCGCCGAAGGCCCCAGTGCTGCCGCCCGCATGCGTCCCGCACACCCAATTCGGCACACCCCTCACACGTTTCGTGGCCCCATAGGGAGCCCCACCGAAGGCCCCAGTGCTGCCGCCCGCATGCGTCCCGCACACCCAATTCGGCACACCCCTCACACGTTTCGTGGCCCCATAGGGAGCCCCACGAAGGCCCCAGTGCTGCCGCCCGCATGCGTCCCGCACACCCAATTCGGCACACCCCTCACACGTTTCGTGGCCCCATAGGGAGCCCCACCGAAGGCCCCAGTGCTGCCGCCCGCATGCGTCACGCACACCCAATTCGGCACACCCCTCACACGTTTCGTGGCCCCATAGGGAGCTCCACCGAAGGCCCCAGTGGCGGCGCTCACATGCGCATGCGTCCCGCATACCCATTTCGGCACATCCCTGACAGGTTTCGTGGCCCCATCATCCACCGGAGGCCCCAGTGGCGGCGCTCACATGCGTCACCCACACCCACCCAATTCGGCACACCCCTCACACGTTTCGTGGCCCCATAGGGAGCTCCACCGAAGGCCCCAGCGGCCGCGCTCACATGCGTCCCCGCCACCCATCCCGGCACGCCCCTCACAACAACAGGTTTCGTGGCCCCATAGGGAGCTCCACCGAAGGCCCCAGTGGCACCGCCCGCATGCGTCACCACCCGCACCCAATTCGGCACACCCCTCACACGTTTCGTGGCCCCATAGAGAGCTGCACCGAAGGCCCCAGTGGCGGCGCTCACATGCGTCCCCGCCACACATCCCAGTACACCCCTCACGCGCTTCGTGGCCCCATAGGGAGCTCCACCGAAGGCCCCAGTAGCGGCGCTTACATGCGTCTCCGCCACCCATCCCGGCCCCCCCCCCCCCGCAGCAGCATCATGTTTCGGGGACCCATAGGGAGCTCCACTGGAGGCCCCAGTGGCGGCCCGCACATGCGTTTCCGCCACCCATGTCGGCACGCCCCGCGCGTGTTTCATGTCCCCATAGGGAGCTTCGCCGAATGCCCCAGTGGCACCCATCTCGGCACACCCCTCACACGTTCCGTAGTCCTATGGGGAGTTCCATTGAAGATGAAACCCGCAGCTGCGGTACTGACAACTGCATATGGTTGGGTTCTTCGCCAGGCTATTTTTTTGCCAACGTTTAAGCTTCAGGGTCGTGAGTGGTGAGGAAGTCTCAGGCGAAACGCCCGGCCCGCCCTGAGAAGTTGCCCTGGGGTGCGACAGGGAAAAGTTATTTACAAGGAAAAGGAATGGAGGAGGAGGAGCAAGAGGAGGAGCAGTTGGACAAGGAGTAGGGGGAGGACGGACAGGAAGAGGGTGAGAAGGGGGAGGAGGCGGGAGGGGGCGAGGAGGAGGTGGAGGAGGAGGAGGACGAGGATGACGACAACGATGACGAGGAAGATGATGGGGACGAGGGGTGACCAGAGTAAATCCGGATGTCTCAATGATGCTGGAATGCTCACCCGTCCCACGAAGCCTCTCGGGTCTTCATAAGCGTTCCTAGAAGTGCCTCCCCCTTGAACGACGAGCGCCCCCACAGGTGTGTCATGTGGGCGAGATCCTCATTCTGAACATGGACCACCCTCCATGGGACAAATTGACGACGACAGTGCACGGCGCTAGGGCGAGAGCCACATTTTGAAAACGACCTGCTCTCTATTCGTGAAAAGGGGACGCGCGAGGGCTTTGAGCCGACTGTGCGCAGCGCTAGGACGGCCACCAATGCGAAAGTCCGTAGCGAGGAGGGATGGGACATGAGGACCAGGTGGAGGAGGAGGAGGGGGAAGAGCACGAGGAGGAGGGGGAAGAGCACGAGGAGGAGGAGGAGGAGGAGGAGGAGGAGGAGGAGGGGGAGGAGGAGGAGGGGGAGGATCGGATGATGGATGAGCGACCAATGGAGGCGGCGCCCCTCCCGCTCGCGGCCGCCCAACGGCCGAGCGCCCGCGGGTGGCCTGGCCACCACCTGAGGTGCTTGGCCCCCAGCCGTGAGGTCGACGTCGACGACCTTCCGCGGTCGCTCACGCTAGCGGCGGCGGGTCCACCAGCCACCGCTGCAGCGCCGTGAGGTCGGCCGCGAACCTGGGGACCGCCGCCGCCGCGGCCGCCGACGTAGCCCCCGCTGGATCGTGTCGCCGCGGTGCTCGAGGGCCTGCGACCTGGGGCCATCGGACAGAGGCGCAGCAGGCTCCCGCCGCGCGCGTCGCTGTCCCCGCGGCTGGTGGCTTGAAAAAACTCGTCCTCGTTCGCGGGCCCGTCGTCGGCCATCGCTCCCGCCGCCTTCACGGCCTGTGCAGAGCGGGCCTGCGCAGCAGCGCCTCCCTTGCACCCGTCGCGCCCGCGCGGCCACGGGCCACCGACGGCGCCGTGCGCGGGGGCCATTGTCGGGCGCCGCCGGCACGTCCCGTTTCGCGGCGTCGCTGACGAGGGACGAGGGACGAAGGCCCCTCGCGGTCCGCAGCAGGCGTGTCCCCGAGGGGGGCCAGGCTGGAGGCGGCATGTGCCGCGAGGAGGGCTCCTCGGGCTGCCTCAAAACGGCGGCCCAGAGCCTTGCACCCGTGAGCTTATCCGACATCGGTGGAGCGACGGCGGGGCTTCCAACACAACGCTTGAGCGACGGACGAGGCATGAGGAGGAGGAGGATGAGGAGAGGGACGTGACAAGGAGGAGCAGAGGGAAGAGGAGGAGGGGGGGAGGAGGAGGAGGAGGGAGGGCAGCGTTCGCCACCGAACTCCAATGTCATCGGAGTCGAGTCGTGTCGAAGAGGAGGAGGTGGAGGAGGAGGAAAAGGAGGAGAAGTAGGAGGGAAGGAAGGAAGGGAGGGAGGGAGGAAGGAAAGAAGGAAGGAGGGGAGGAGGAGGAGAAGGAGGAGGAGGAGGTGGAGGAGGAGGGAAAGGGGATACGGATAGGGGGGAAGGGCGCTATTCAACTAGTTAGTAATACGGATGCGCAATCGTGCTTGGGTGTCTGGACGTAGTAGTCCAATCTTTGCCGCAATCAAGACATTGAATTGGTTTTGGCAAGGATGGTGGGGGAGGGGGGCCGTAGGGTTTGGGGTCGGCGGCTATTCGAGTGGACGAGGGTGTGTGTGTATGAACAAGGGGTAGGGGTGAACCCCTTGCCGCAGGTGAAGACGGGAGGTGGAAGATCCAACTCTGTAGTCTGTTGGACTTGGTTCCTGCCAGTATGTCCTAAAGGAATCGTCTCTCTGCCTCCCTCCTCGTCCTCGTCCTCGTCCTTGTCGTCGTGGGCCTCCTCTTCCTGCTGCTCCTCCTCCTGCTGCTGCTCCTCCTCCTCCTCCTCCGCCTCCTCCGCCTCCTCCGCCGTCTCCTCCTCCCCTCCGCTTCCTCCGCCCCCTCCGCCTCGTCCTGCCCTTCCTCTCCTCCTCCTTTTCCTCCTCCTCCTCCTCCTCCGCACTATCCTCCCCCCGCGAAGCCAGGTAGAGGCCCCGCTCGGCCGCTCCTGGCTCGCCGAGCCCCGCGCGCTGCGAGTTGCCTCCTCCATGTCTTTTCCTTGTAGCGGCAGCGCGCCGAGGGGGAAAGTGCGACGTTTTGGGGCAGGCCTTCTCAGAAGCCCTCTGGCCTTTGAGAAGTCGTCTCTGTTCTCGGAGAAGTCGTCTCTGCTCTCTGACGCTCGGAGGCTTTTCGAGCCTTCTGAGAAGGCCCACTTCCTCTGCCTGCCGCCCTGGGCGCGCCGCCGATTGTAGTCAACTCCACCCTGTCGCCCCCCCCCAGGCGTGTCTGTAGGGTGGGCCTTGCGTTTCGCCTAAGACATTACCATTTGTGATTCTGAAGCCTGATATTCGCAGCGGTGATATGGATGGGGCACACCATTTTCAAAATGGGACTCCCGCCATAGCGGAGCACCCATTCGCCCGACACGACTGCAACAGTTACACGGATGGTGGGCGGCTCCTTTCCAAAATGGGGCTCTCGCCTTAGCGCCGCGCATGTTCGTTCCAAGCTCTGCAACAACTACAAGGGGTTAAGGGTGGTTCCTTTTCAAATGAGGTTCTCTCTTTGTGGCACCACGCACATTCGTTGCAATCACTTGCAACTTTCACACTGTGTAAGGGCGGTTCCTCTTCAACATGGCGCCCTCGCTTGAGATTTCATTAAGCTGAAGGGCCAGCAGCTGCAAACTAGGTAGCAGCTACAAGGCTGAAGGGCGGCCCCGTTCCGAAATGGGGCTCTCCTTTCAGACTTCCTCGAAGTTCATGTCCAGACAAACTTGTGCACTATTGCACAGCTGGGGGCGGTCCTTTTTCAAGACGGGGATGTCGCTGGACAAGTCGTTGTACTGTATATCTATACCTTTTCGCAGGCCTGATTACGAGCTAGAACTACGCATGAACATTCATTTTCAAGACGGAGCTCTCGCGTGATTGGCAGGCCCATGGCACGCTGTTCTCTCAAGGGGACACTCCTTGTAGTGAAAAGGAAGGCTTGTAGGGACTTGTGAGGAGAGGACTTGGGACGGGAGGGTGTCTTGCAGCATTGCTGTTGCACCTTGGATGATTTACTCTGGTCCTCCTCCTCCTCCTTGTACTGGCCCCTCCCCCCCTTCTCCTTCCCCACCCCATCTCCCTCTGCCTCCCCATCGCTCTCCTCATGCTCATCCTTTCCCTCTTCTGCATGCTGCTCCGCACCCGCGTCCCTGCCCTCGCCCTCATCCTCGTCCTCACTGTCAGCCCCATCCTCATCATCAGCCCCATCCTCAATTCCACCCTCATGTCTATCCTCATTTGCATTATCACATGTGTTTCATTGTTTCTATTCAGATTTTCATCCTCGTCCCCATCCTCAGGAGGACCAGTATGAGCGTCGTCTGTACAGGCGGGATGACTGCTGCCTTGGCCCAAGCCGTCCTGGCCAGTCGGCCGACGCGCGATCCGGCCGCCCGTCCACCACGTTAGGCCTTCCTCGTCTTCCGGTGTCTCCTGCGGAGCACGGGGTGGAAGAAGAGGAGGACGAAGGATGAGGGGGAGGAGGAGGGGGGAAGACAAGCTAGGTGCGCTAGCGTCACATCTGACGTCCTACCCCTCCCTTCCATCCCTTTCCATGGCGTAGATTTCTTATCTATTCGCACAGTCGGATGTCCAGCAGGCCAATGATTCCAAGAGAGTACGCGATGGATGGAAAAGCATGGCGTAGAAGCGTGGCATTGTTTAGTGAAGCATTGCATCACAAAGCACAGCAACGCAAAGCATGGCATCGCACAGCGGTGCACCGACAGAAATGAGACCAGCGCTGCAGCGGGAGCACGATGTAGAAGGACTGGAGCGCGGGAACAAGGCCAGGACCGAAAAAGGACATGAGGCCACCTCTGCAGCGGGAACACGCTTTGGAATGACAGAAGCGCGGGAACGAGGCGAGCGCTACAGCGACAGCGCGAGATGGAAGGACCGAACACGCCAGTGCTGCTGCGGCGGGAACACGATTTGGAACAACTGGAGGTGCGGGTACGAATCCAGCGCTGAAGCAGGAGCACGATTTTGAATGACCGAAGCGCGGGAATGAGGGCGGTGCTGCAGCGGGAGCACCATGTTGAACAGCCGGAAACGGCCATATGGGAAAAGCACATGGGAATAACCGAATCATGAAATTTCGTGTGAGAACAATACGCGGAGTCGACGGGACACTCTCCGGACAGAATCAGGGGAGAAAGGAGAGTAGTAGTATTCATGTGATGCAATTGTTAGCCGTCTTAGTAGTAGTAGTAGTAGTAGTAGTAGTCGTCGTAGTCGTAGTGGCAGTCCTAGTCGTAGTAGTAGTAGTAGTAGTAGTAGTAGTAGTAGTTGTAGTTGTAGTTGTAGTTGTAGTAGTAGTAGTCGTAGTAGTAGTAGTAGTAGTAGTAGTAGTAGTAGTAGTAGTAGTAGTAGTAGTAGTAGTAGTAGTAGTAGTAGTAGTAGTAGTAGTAGTAGTAGTAGTAGTAGTAGTAGTAGTAGTAGTAGTAGTAGTAGTAGTAGTAGTAGTAGTAGTAGTAGTGTAGTCGTAGGAGTAGTAGTAGTAGTAGTAGTAGTATTAGTAGTAGTAGT